GTTCTGTCTACCCAATTTCACTCACAAGGCTTGGATCAACCCGTGGTATGGTTTTCAGACACTTTCCAAAGGTACCGCACACTGGGATCGCCCCCTCCAGACCGATAACATCAGGAACTGTCCTTCCAGACAAATCAACCGTTTTGAGATTCGTGGTTCTCCTGAGAACAGAGTGATGCAAATTCTTATATTAACGGGGAGAATAAAACGAAACATCCTTAGCATTGACTATATTTGAACCAGATACACGTATAGGTCATTTATTTTAGCCACTGGAATAACCACTACTCCAACCTTCCTCTAATTAAATTTGATAATCTTCTGCGTTATCAAACTGGCTCTTAGACAAGTTACCTATGTGTCTTTCCCACATATGTAAAACAAACATTCGAACCCGAGTAAAAAATATGGTTTCAAAGTTGACTTTGAAAGTTACTAGTTTCGCTTGATTTGAATGATTGGCGTAACACATTCTTCTTATACCTTTTCGCTCGTTTTTGGTCTTGTGTCATACTAGGTTATGCTTACAAAACATGAACTTTCCTAACGACATTCAAATAATTCGTTCTGGAAATATTTAATTTAAAACCGAATTTTTTATTTGCTCCTCCTCGCAAATCACAAGTTCACTTTAATTATATTCCTTTGTATACTTCCCTGTATTTAGATATGTTATTATGCTTCATTGCCATAATTAATAATAATTAAATTAATTAATAATTTCAATAAAACAAGACAGATTTTTTTTTATTCAAATCTAAGACTTCAATCATAACAAGGAGTGAAGAAGCTTTGTTTTTAATGGTGAGTTACATTTACCTATGCAAATTATTTATTGTTATCCCAAGAAAGGCTAACGTGTCGTAAAAACCACCAACCAAACCAATTATAAAATCATAAATGCATGTATATATGTTATGAAACTTTAATTCTGATGGGCAGTGAAAACAAGGTGTTTAAATTATATGCGTTGCTCTTATGTACTGCATAGACATCTATGCGTGAAATAATATGTAGCCAGCTACTCTTGGTGTTCATTATAACTTAGTAGTGGTTTCAGTACCCATACTTCTAGTCTTGTTCTAAACCATGCTGAACTTCGTCAAAGGTAACTATGAAAGCGTCTCTTTTCATTGCAATGTTAGCGAGCTCATCTCGCACATGATTGAGACTGAAAAGTAAGTTCGATACTCATATAGACAGCATAAATTTTAAGCGGATTTGTTCATCCTCTGAATTTTTTAAGTCTGGTGAAATATTTTCCTATTGCATTGCCACAGGAACTTGTCAGTTTTGCCTCTATACTAACAGGTAATCGTGCTGGGCCTCCATTAAATAAACCTTGTGTCGTTAGAAGCAAATACGTTACTCTTGTCTTTGAGTAAGACAAGATACAAAATTGAGACAACTTTTGGTTTCCTGCAAATACCAATTCCGAAAGAGTTTTTCTCCTCTTCCTTAGAAACATAGAACCACGGATCAACTTCTCCGCCTTTGCGCTATAGACATTAAAACCTGTATTATATTTGTCATCGCGAAGAGCCAGATAACGACTGTTTTCTCTGTTATTGTTTGAGGTGATGTCTTATATTTGCTAATTAAAGGGTATGTTAAAATGTCCTTAGCTCGACCAAGAACAGATTTTTAAAAAAAAGTAATATTTGGTCAGATTCTATGAACTGGTTTGAACCCAAAACTTTTCAGTCACTATTTAATAACGAGAAAATACAACTTTTTCCAAGCATTTTTACTTGCATCTGTTTTCTCTTTAATTCACAATAGAAGTATCTTTCCATTATGATTTGTCAATGAATTCATTCAAGGCGAGTTATAAATAATCTATAGTGCGTGTCACCAGTTGACAAGGGAGGCAACCAAGCAAGACATAAACTCATTGCGGTTACAAATGAATAATTCGAATTCTTCTTTTCACTTAAATTAAATGAGATACAATGAATCTTTTCTCTTTCATTGGGTTCCTCGACGCCATTTGGTGCAATGAAATAAAACAAAACAAACCATGGTGTAACGAGGCTTGTTCCAGTGAAGTTTGCTCACTTTCAGTATTACATTCATTATCTCTAACAAATTATTGTCCCCACATTCAGGAGTGTTCAACGAATCAGCTTATATTATGTTCATTTATTGTATTATAGATATTACAGTTTATTTTTACTGTTTTGTTCGACATCTTTGGCATCATCTCTATCATCATTATCATAGCCATTTATTTTCTTTAGATGAATTATTAGATTTACTATTATTATTATTATATTATTACTATTACATATTATATATTACTATTCCATTTACTGTTATTATTATTATAAGCTTAAATCACCAAAGACTCAATGTCTAGTAACTTTCCATGAATAGAATTGACATTATTATTATTAATAATTGTAAATAAATAATAAAGGAATAAGTTGAACAACTCTGTAATAAACAGCTATTATTTTTGCATAAAAATAATTTGAAATATTTTTAAAAGCTAAAAGTATCATTATTTAAAAGGCATTATTTTACGCAGCAATCAGTAAGTTTTTTCATTTACTTTTTTGTTGAAATAATTTTTTACGGGTTCTGTAACAAAAACACAAAAATGCAAAACGCACAAACATTTAAAAATTCGGATCATTATAATTGGGATGAAAGCGAATTTATTCTTCTAAATAATTTTAACGGTATTTTGTTCTAACAAAAGACTCGCTGCAATATGCTATGTTTGCTGTGTTACGTTACAAATAAGACACACGAAAATGTAATCATTATAATATATATTATTATTTATGCTTATCCATGTTCTCACTAGATGCCCGACATTTTTTCACCGCCGAGTTTAAAATGTTGGTAGTAACAATTTATCACATTAATATATGGCTCATGAAATAGTATTAAGTAATTTATGTTCATAGTTGTCCATCACATATATTTATTTGTGTTAACGTAATTTTTCAAACAGAATATCCATCTAAAAATAGCGCTTAAATAAATTTAAAAATATCTGTCGGAATTAATCTATTTCCTATATATATATATATATATATATATATATATATATATATATATATATTCTTTTGTAACTAGAGATGTGACCTGATGAACCAGGAAAAATAAATTTTCTGGGGAAATAAAGTATAATCATGGAAACTTATGGTTGTTTATTTTTAATTACTTAATCAATTTATATATATATATATATATATATATATATATATATATATATATATATATATATATATATATATATATATATATATGTATTGTCCAGCAGATGATTATTTAAACAATGAATGTCTATTATGTTTCATCATGACTCGTTTAAAATTTGTATGGTTGCTTTAATTTCAGGTGAAATTAAAGACAAAAATTCTCCAATATTTGGATATTTTTTATTAAGCTGTTCTTTGATCTAAGCTTTCGCCTCACAAGAGCCAACTTCAGAGTGGTTATACAGATATTTAATAAAAGATATTCAGCATCAAAGATGATATTCTCTTATGTTAACATAGAATAATTCTTTGAGACGATAACGGTCGGGGAATAGCAGACGCAGGTTGTAAATTCATGATGCGATTTTATGACGTCATACCACGTGAAAGACCGAAATATTAAAAACAGAACCATATGTCTAGATGCAATGTAATGTGTTGTGACTAGTCATGAATTTCAGAGCTTTGAAACAGGTTCCGTAGTCACAAGGATAATATGATAATGTCTGTAACTTAAAAATACATTTTCCTTCCAAGTGTTCCATTCTCTTAGCTGCTTTTATTTTGATCTCAAAAATCATTCAATTCATTCTGCAGCTTTCCACCATTTTATGTTTGAAAAAGAGAAACAGTTATTTTTCCATGCGGATTTTATACCTGAAGTGGACAATAGAAATGCATTCACTTAAATTTAATGGTTAGAGTAAAAATAAAGAGCAATAATTCGACAAACAATGATATTAAGTTTACTTCTGATTTTTAAACTGATGGAGTCACGATTAATAAAGCATGCATTGCAGATAAAAAAAAAAGTTCAGTTCAGTCCTAACAGCTAACTTGTGCTAGATATGACACAGATATGCACATTGAAATACAATTTAGATGACACCTGTCTAGAAGTGAGAGTTATCAAGCTTGTTTCCAAGGCTAGTCTGTTTCTACAGGGTTTCGATTCTAACGATGTGCCTCACTATTAACTCTCTGCGCGCGCACAATGACGTACACACACGCGCATGCACACACACGCACACACACACACATACACACACGTCTATATATACATATATATATATATATATATATATATATATATATATATATATATATATATAAGATACATTTAAACGCATTCACCTAAACAATCATAAAGGTGGAGATTTTTGCCATTATATAATTACAGGAAGATCTCTTTTTCGAAAACATGAAAAACACAACAAAAATACTTAACAGAAGTAACATGTCATTCATTTTCAATGAAACATGTATTAGAGAAAGATTCCTACCCAAATACACGATTTGATATAATTACACACGCATACTCGAAATCACACATAAGAACGTTACTTCTCATAAAATTGTACATATACTCATTCAAACAGAAGTAGACACATATGAAGCACATACACTACAGTAAATCATATAAAGGAATACGCATGCTCTTAACAACGCCTGCAGACTTCCACGCAAACGTTCGATAAAAATGAATAAACAAAAATACATGAAATAACAAAGACAAAGCATAAAAATAGAAAAAGAAGACATTTTTCAATGATGATAAGAAGAAAATTGTCTCTTATTAATTTGTCGTAGCATGGAGTCCAATGCTGCCCGTGTCCTCTTTAACGTGTGTATTTGAGCTGGGGTGCATGAACGACGAACGCCTAATGGACGAACTACAAAGCATTAAAAAAACAGTGTGTATGTGACTCATTGCCATATTAAATGTTTGATATAAGCCCATTCATCATCTTTACATGACTGGCATCTCAACATGGTGTCTGGTCTCTCCTACTCTCGATAGACGGTTTCGGAGTTTGGGGTGGGGGTATTCCGATCTGCTGCTTGGTTTAGCCCGAAGGGACCCTGGGATATGGACGCGAGTGAGTTTCGAGTGGTTGAGACAATAAGTGAATTGAAGCTGGCGAGTCTGTTTATTGTTTTAAACTGTTGTTGCGGCGGTGGTGCCGATGTCGACAAGGAGTGTAATGACGACAAGTTCGTATCTTCTGTGACAGAAATGCTCGTTCATAGCCAACGATACAATGGGAAAGAAGGCCTCCTGTTACACCCTCTAGTCACGTGTAAAGTTGATTTCTGTCCGGTCTCTTTTACGCTAACAGCGGCTAAACAAAAGTATTTTTGTGATCGAACTGAACCCTGTTAACTTCCATTCAAAAGGCGATGTGCATTATCTAAGCATATGACATTGTGAAGTTTATTTGCTGTGGTTAGCTTCGTGAACTACAATTCTGGAAAAACAGCTAAGAGCTAATTCACAATACATGCAGTAGCCTCCTCTAAGTTTTTAAACATTGCTGTACAGTAGGAGTAATTTAAATAATTATTAAGCTTAACTTAGTCTGAGACAAAGTTGCACTAGTAGAATACCAAGTTAGAATTGACGTTACTACGCGATATGTAAATGAACTATCAGTCCATAGTGGACATCCCGCATTAATTACTACCTATACTGTACCATTGATGTGCTTAAGTTGTGAATCTATTCTGGATTAATATGCTTAAGATGTGAATCTGTTGGGACTGGTGTCTATCGTGAATGAATTATAAAAGTGCCCAGTTAATAATAATAATAATAATAATAATAATAATAATAATAATAATAATTTTAAAGTGCATTACAAATCTCAATCGAAGTATTTTTTATTTTGGGTACTAATATTCGATCACCTGAAACCAAATATATTTTTAGTTTACTTCGTCCGAAGATGGCAGTAAACTATGAAATGTCAAATGATTACTATCCTTCTGAGGTAGCGTCTACCAGTAGCTGAAATATAGTTACTGAAATTGCATTGAGATATTGGTTAATGAACGCCACCACTAGTACAAAATTAGATTCATAGATGACCCCAGAGAGGAAAAAAAAAGCATTAGAAATAACTTGTGAGATAAGCACGTTATAGTCGATCAGAATCACTCGACAAGATTATAAAAACAAAGAAAAGTATCTGCGTCCTTCAGATTATCTTGTTTCAATTTTATTTATTTTATAATTTCTTATTAGATAACGAGATGAATATAAAACGGAATTTCAAAGTTAGTACCTTTTCTTTTACGCAATTTTCTAACTATAGAAATCCAATTAGCAAAACTGTTTTTCACTTGGGATGCTCGAAATGATGCCGTTTGTTTAGCGACAGTATCCAAATAATGATCAGCATCGCGAAAATCAACATTCTGGTCTTCACCTTGACTGATTCCTTGTTGTCGTGCTAGATATACAATGATATGAGCAAAGTGAGATAGATAGATAGATAGATAGATAGATAGATAGATAGATAGATAGATAGATAGATAGATAGATAGATACCGTAAGTTCTATGCTAACAGTTTCTTCTCTTGCAATTCTCGCTTGTGGAACTCTCTTCAGGCTTCTTGCTTTCCAGTCAACTTTTATCTTCAAAAAGCCAATCGTTATCTTCTGACTTCATAATTCCTGTTCTTTTATTGTTCACTTTCTTTAATAATGTTTTCTTTTTATCGTATTCTCTCAAACATAGTAAACTACCTACGTCCTAGTGGCTTTATTACCTTGCATGAGGTGAATCGATTAAAAAGATAGATAGATGGATAAATAGATTTGGGGTGCTACTCAGAAGATCGTCGAATGGATTATGGATTTTTTCTTTTGACAAAATATAAACAGCTGGACGAGAAATACAAAAAATTGTGGTGGCGAGAATCAATAAATAAAAAGAGAAATTAAAAAGAAAGTGAAAAGACCAATATGGTAAAGAGCTGGATAAATAAAGAAAAAAAATAAAAATAAAACGCGGCCAGTGAGAAGAAATTGGGAGCGATAGAAAGAAAGCAAATACAGCGATAAGGAATTTAAACCAAAAAAAAATAAAAAGTAAAAAAATAAGCAACAAGTACAAAATCATGAAGAAAAAGGAACGGATGTCACCCACACGAGTTGAATACAAAGTAAGATTGATGGTCGATTTTCACGGCACTCCTTCTTCTTGGTCTCTTGCGCATCTCGCAGTGGCAAGGGTCCTTCACTGGAGATCCTCTTTTCAAAATATCGACGCTTGGCTAATAATAACCACTTGGCCGTTTAATGAGTGCTAACGCCTGTCAAGACACTCCGTACATGCACGGTACTGACACAGCCAACCTGTATCCGTCTTTCGCCATTATTATTGCTTGGCTTTCTTGGCGTCTTATCTGGTGTCGGGTGAAGGTCTGTCTGTATGTACATCCAAATAACCTACGTTGAACACGTTCTGTTTTCTAATGCCAAATACACTTGACGGAAACTTTCAGCCATACATTCACCCTTGTAGGGATGTGATCTCCGTTACACCCACTTTCTTATTCTGAGCTAACCTAAGAATTGTATAAGAAAGCAACTTTTTTGGCCGCCTTCTTGATCTTTCCTGTTTCTTTTGGTTATTTTTCCCGCTTACTAAGTGACCTTCTCAAGAGTTGATGTATTTACATTGGAAGCATATTTGCTTGAACTAATCATTCTTTGCTGATCTATGTATATATATATATAAATATATATGTGTGTGTCTGTGTGTGTGTTTATGTGTAAATAACTTTTGTTCAAGTCTTCATTTTATTTTTCTAATAATGGAATAAGTTGCACATCCGTATATAAACTTGTCTCTTGTTATTCGATTACATTCAAGCGATTTAATCATTATCATGAACTAAATGTTTTCAGTATGGGAGACGAGTTTGTTAACGATATTTCGGCATTTTTTTTGGATGCTTGAATTCAAATATACGAATATCGTATAAATGGCTTCATGTATAGAACAGTTTCACAGAGCTGAACATCACGGAAAAAGAATGCATAAAATATTTTATCCGTATTATTATTATTGAAATTAAATGATCTGATGATTGGTTGAAAAGTGAAACTCAAGGGATTACAAACAGCACGAATTCAACAAAACATGCTTATAATAAATATCTCTCTCTCTCTCTCTCTCTATCTATCTATCTATCTACCTCTCTCTCTCTCTCTCTATATATATATATATATATATATATATATATAAAAAAAGCAGGATGTGTGTGTGTGTGTGTGTGTGTGTGTGTGTGTGTGTGTGCGTGTAACGAATGCACGGATTTCGACGGATTTGCACCAAAATTTACATGCACATGCTCCAAGTTAGTGGGAAGACCAAGACTGACTTTGCATTTCCCAACTCCCATCGATAGTGGAAATAATCTACTAGCCAGATTGATAACCTATAGCTGGCTGACACGAATAGGCAGGAAGATTCTATTGGCCAGCATGAGAGCCAACAGCTGACTGACACAAATGTTAACTAGCATGCAAAAAAATCGATAGCTGCATTCGTCACAAGTGGGAAAAATTTAAATCTGCATGCCACTTTACTCCAATTGGCTTATTCGCTTGCTTAAACTCAACGTTGATTCTGATTCCGTAGAACTGGGTCGGGTGTCAAAAAGTATTTGTTGTTAACATTCTTTTTTCATTCGGTTTTTCCAGCTACGAGTCCTTTTTTAAAGCTGATCGTTTTGTGTTCATTTTGTTTAGTTCTTTTTTCGTAACAGATTTAATGTTCAGTATAAAGCTTAGAAAAAATTCTCAGTGTGATATAGGCAAGAAGTAAAGCATGTAGCAACATCAGCACGGCGAAGGGCACTTCTTTAAAGGCAGGGAAGGGCAAAAATATTTTAAGCCAAGTAATAGCGATTGCTGTATGAGTCGTACGAGTTTTGAATCAAGCACGAATATATATATGGTGGGCTGGTGGATCATGTAATTTAAATGAAGCATGCATCAATGAAAAATTGCTGCCTAAATATACACAATTGAAAAATGCAACAATGAAAATTGCTGCCTAAATATACACAATTTAAATACATACATACACACACACATATATATATATATATATATATATATATATATATATATATATATATATATATATATATATATTTATTATAATTTTTTTCATATAGACAAAAACAATTTACACAACATCGTTTCGGTGCATTTATTTGCACGTCGACTGGTGACAACGAAAAGCAAATAGATAACCATTTTGGTTCTCACCAGTTGACGTGAAAATAAATGCACCGAAACGATGTTGTGTAAATTGTTTTTGTCTATATGAAAAAAATTATAATAAATAATTATTGCTCTACTATCGGTATTGAGCCCTCTTTTGAATTTTATTCTGTGTCCGTTAGAATTTATATATTATTCTCGTTCTCATTACATTCATATATATATGTGTGTGTGTGCGTGTCTGTGTGTGTGTGTCTGTGTGTGTAAAATAATATATTTCAATGACTATAGTATTATATATATGTTACTTTATAACATGGACAACACTCTACATGGTATATTTATCCGGAAAATAAAACCAGCATAGGTTAGTTGATGTCAAATTTATTGTGTAAACATTGACTTGTATAGTAAACTCTGTTATATTTTATTTTATTATGTGTAGGGCCATGTTCGTCTACGTCCTGTAGGGTCACGGAGCATAAAAGAAGAAAGAAGAAATGAACTTACAAAGATTTTCGGACTCATTGCAAACCAATGTTATATCACTTTCAGCAATGAGATTTATAAATAAATATACAGAGTACTGATGAGTTCGCCTTTTATCGGTGATCTAGCTTGTCATTTTTTTAGAATTTCTAGATGATACTGGCCCTTCCAAAATATTTTACTTAAAAAATCAACGTTTTCGTTATATTAATATTTTATTAATATATAACCACAAAAAATCACCTGATCTTCTAACTAAAGTAAAAACATCGGATACACAATCGAATTTAATTAGAAACAATATTTTACCTTTTCCCGATATCATGTTAAACCGTACTGATCATGATTTAAAATTAAGTATATATTTAAAAAAACAACTATTAAAAATGTTATCATAAATTTCTGTTAACATCATAACAACAAAATCTGGAAGACTTATCGGTCTCTATTTAAGAACTCTTAGAATTTGTAGTCCTCAATATATACATCATGAAGAAAAATACATTGACAACACTTTTAAACTCCTCCGATATCTTACTTATTATAAAATGCAGATTGTGTGTGTGTGTGTGTGTGTGTGTGTGTGTGTGTGTGTGTGTGTGTGTGTGTGTGTGTGTCTGTAACGTTTATATGTTGGATCGAACTTCCTACATTTTTTAGCCGATTTCAACAAAACTTCACAGGACTACATAAAATTACCCTGTGGTGGTTCTAACGGGGCCGAAAATGGGAAAAATACAGTTGTTTTTTAATAAAATCAATTTTAAAACACGATTAAGACACATCGTGAGAATGAAAGGGGGACAAATCACCCAGGAAATGTAAACAAAAGAGCATAGCATGATGAAAAAAAAGCCGAACTTGACGAAAACAAAATTTTATCGTCTAATGTTCATATTATTATTAAAGAGGAAAGATCAAAGTATTTTTGGGGGTATTTTTTTTACATTTTTTAATCGTTCCTAGCATGTCTGAAATTTTCGTTAAAAATATTGTTTTTCTTGGTCAAAAAAAAAAAAAAAAGGCAGATAATCAATCATTTTCAATCATTTTTTCGATTTGATAAAAAAGATTAAAATCTTACTTTGATATTCTTTTAAAAATCAATTATCATTTTTTCAAAACTGATTTTAATAAAAACAGAAATTATACTGTTTATTTAAAATATTTTGAACCAAGCTTAACTTCGCTTCTGCACCGAAAAAATGTAATTTGAAAATAAAACAAAGCAGGTCATAACCTTTCGCGCCGCTTGACGATGGACGAAAGGCACATTCATGACGTTTAGATAACTTACGGGAGGATAATTCTTTCTACGGATGGAAGGAAGTGAAATTATTTAAGTGAACAAATTATTTACCTTGTTACTTTTAAGGAAAACTTTCAGCGCTCTATTTTTTTTTTTTTTTTTTTTTTTGTACTTAGCTTTCATTTTTCCGTTTACGATGCTTTATGGAAAATATAAAGAAATTAAAAAATAAGACTGTTAATAGTGAGATTAAATTTCATAAGAAAAAGGTATCTAATTAATTTAGGTACCTTTCTTATGAAATTTTATCAGAAGTGTACATAAAAATACTATAATTTTATGTACATTTATTACATTTTACTGTGCTATTTGTATTTCCATTCATTTTATTATTAATTTTGATATTTCATTTATGGAAAAATGTCATAACTGAGATTAATATAAAAATAAGATCATATAAATTAAAGTTTAGCAGTAGTTAAATTTCATAAGATGATACTGTTACTTGTAGGTACCCTTCTCAGTTGAAATTGAAAACTCAAATTAACTTCTCCATACGTGTTTCGCAAAAGTAAAGGGCTTAACAGCGGAGAACAATGCTGAACTCAAATAATGCAACTAAATTGTATTCTGGTTGGTCTTCCGTACTTGATAATTACTGTCCGACTATACATACAAAAATTACATTTCTTAATTACCATGGCTAATCTGATTGGTCCAAATTATACAATTTTCAAAGCGCTAGACAATGACAATCTCACACGGACATTTTGAAAGGTTGATGTTGCTTTTAACTAATGTTAAAATATTTTTTTAAATTCAATTTAAACATTTTTTAAAAATCTTTTTAAAATTAAAGAAATAAGAAATAATTGTATTAAAAATTCAATTTTCATTGAAAAATTTTTTTGCTTTCAGAAAATATTGTCCATATTCATAAAAACAAATTAAAACAAATAAAAGCATTTGAAACTAAATAATATATTTGTTTTATTGAGTTTTGTATGTTACAATTCACAGCTGATTTTCAGGTACGTTGGCCAAAAAAAAAAAAAACATGATTTGCATTCTTCAAAGCCTTGTGCTTTTAACTATTGTAATCACTAAAACCGATGGTCTCGAATTTCTAGAGTTTTTCATAAAATTAGTTATGGGGTGTTAATAAATATAAAAAAAAAATATAATTCTGCCATGAATTTAAAAAAAAACATATTTATAATAATTTCGATCATCTGTGAATAGTTTCTGAAAGTCTCATTAACATCTGACAATTATTTTTATTTTTGCAAGATTTTCCAAATTAATGTGTAAATACAAAAACCCGCGCTAAAATTATCTATGTTATTTACTACCCCTTGTTGCGACAAAGAGAAACAAGGTTTTTTAAATCAAAATTTAGAATATTCTAAAAAGATGGAAAAATTTTAAAAAAATAATTAAAAAAAATTTAGTCTATCCTCTTCATAAAAACATAAGCATTTTGACGATAAAATTTTGTTTTCATAAACTTTGGCGTCTTTTTCATCAGACTATGCTCTATGTTTTAGCGATTCCGTGGAGTGACTTAGGTTAAAAAACCCAGGTTGTTTATGTGTGTGTGTGTGTGTGTGTGTGTGTGTGTGTGTGTGTGTGTGTGTGTGTGTGTGTGTGTGTGTGTGTGTGTGTTCCTTTATATATGGGATCGGATTTCTTACATTTTTCAGCCGATAAAACAAACATCCACTTTTTTTTCGGCAGGTAGTATTTCTTATTGTCTTGCACACTTTTTTCTTTATTTACATTCAGAATGCTTTAAAAATTCCAATTACAAGACAATTGTTTATAATAAAATTCTATTTACCAATCGATAGACTCATAACGATTGTAAACAATGTTTTTGTTTGAATTTGGGTTTGACCAATTCGTAAAAAAAAAAGAAAAAAAAAACTAATTAAGACATGCGTGTCCGTCAACCTTAAACAATAATCTTTGTCAATTTTATTTTTCAGTCTTTATGATGGTCGATACTTGATCTATCCCTTACTGTTACATCCCCGGGCAACGCCGGGCTCTACTGCTAGTGATATATAATGCTCGCCGTAAATCTTACATGATTCAAGGAAGCAGATAAATAAATAATATAAATAATCTTGATAAAACTACGCACATCCCAACTAAGTGAGCACTAAAACTAAAATTAATTTATCTTAACATAACATTTATTAAGCTACTGTAAAAAAAAAATCTAAATTATACAAAACAAAAGGATAATTGCGTAAAACCGGAAGTTACAGAATAGCCTGTAAGAAAGATCACAAGAAATTGGGAGGTTAAATATTTAAATAAAAGATCATATGAACACAAAAGAAATCATTTACAAATCAAAACCCCTAATGTATTAGTCATTTATTGTAATAAGTCTAGTCGTAATTTCGACTTAAAGAGCACAAATTTAATTAACAGAGAATTTTAATTAACAGAGAAATTGAGTTATTAAGGCGAAATAGTACTGGTAATGTGTCTTCCACCATAAATTTACGTTTATTTTATTTGTTCAATATATTTCGATTTCACATAAAGTATGTCCCACGTCTATGAGTCTGTGAATGTATATAGCTATATATATAAATTATATATATGATGGTTGTCCACTCAATAACGTAGATAATTATATTTGTTCCATAACTACGCATCTGCTACTGCTGACCACTCATAGGCACTGCAATGATTCTTGAAAACAGAAAGGCTTTTAAAAGTTTTATTACACTGCTGACAATCAAATTTATTTGAGGCATTTGTTTCTGCTGTTTTCATGATTGATATTATGTGCTTGATGAGAACAAACTTGTTCTTACATTGCTTATGACACAAGTTACAATTTAATTCTTCATCTTGACGGTAATATTTATATTCAACATGATATCCCTGCACATGTCTTAACGTGGCTTTTCAGCCATGATTGTGATAAGACACGGCCGCATTCTTCACAAACGCACTGACTCGCAGCTGAGTCAATACTATCTGTCTCTTTATTTTTACTTGCACGTTTTATTTAGTTTAGTTGGAGGCATTATTTCAGATGCAGAGCATGTCTAGAATGCCAAGTCTGTCTCTTTCTTTACGACTCTGGACATTTATCTCCCATGACACAGACGAAAGAGAGAAAGTGGGTCCGCTAAACGTCTCTTTGAAACGTATATGCTTTGGCTCATGTTGCATACGCTTACCGCTTTCAGGTTCTTCATAGAAAATTTTCTTCGGTAAATGATCAACGCCCTGCTCGCTATAGTTGATGTCTGTGAATAATCGCTGTGAATTCATTAAAGAGCAACATTGTGGTAAGACGAAAGGATATTTAATATTTTTTCTGAGACAGCATCAACAGGAAACTTGTCATTGCTTTATATGTCTATGATAGAGAACTCACACTTCACACGAAAATGGAAGGATTGAAATAGCATTGTAGACAGCTAGTTTTACTCCTAAATGAAAGAGACTAAACACGAGTATCATACAAATTGAAAGCCTTGGTATCTTTCTGCATGTGGAGATTAATCTCATCATCTCAAGTGTTAAGATGTTTTAAAATATTCCCAATGTTTAAAGAATTTTCAGCAGTTTCTAGCAACTTAAAATTTCTCTAAAGCTGTTTGCGACACGACAACAGTTTTCTTTAAAATGATTTTCAAATAAAACCTGTTCCTCAACAGCATATCCTCATGGGAATAGTTGACCAAGTCACATACATCTTGGATTAATACGTAAAATGATTTTATCTTTAGTTGAAAACAGTTCATGTTAAAAGGTTTACCTGTGGTTCGAAATCGAATTTCCACACCTGTTATACAACCATGCAAAGAATTAATCATCATCATGAAGAAACAGATTGAAAACAAAGTAGAATCAAGCAGACCCCCCCCCCCAGTATAACACCGTTCTCAAATTTCAAAGGATCGGTTAAATTGCCACCAACATTCACTAGAGCTTACATGTCTTCAGGAAATTACCTAACAATTGACACACAATGATCTGGACATCCCAAGTTTCCAAGAATTATCGAAAGGGATTTCCTGTTCACAATGTCAAACACCTCGAGTAGATCAACAAAAATCTTGCTTTTTCTTGTTGTTTCTTAACGGTAAGGATCATGACGACTATCCTTGTTAGGTCTGAACCTATACATAACAACGTGATTCATCTGTCGTTAACGTATGCCGCACGTATGACCTTTCTTTTGTAAAGTGGAGTAATTATAGCATCCTTCCAGTTGATACATACCATTCTTCTCCTTCAAGTGTCATATATAAGTGGTAGACAACAGAAGTAAATTGTTCACCACCAAAGACAAAGATTTCAGTTGGGATACCATCGTTCCCAAGTTCTTAAATTTAATCGTTTTATTGCCATCTGCACGTTTCATACAGTTAGAAGGTCATCGAAAATTTCAAGCTTGGGTTTCTGCTCTAAAGATAGGATCGTTCAAAAATAAATATCAGATTCTCTATTCAGTTGTTGAGACGTTATCTCTTCATATTCTCGAGATATTACTCGCTTTAGTGCATAGTTATTTATCAGCAGCAATTTGAATATCTACTGTCAAGTTACTCCACCATCGGTCCTTGATATTGAACACTGACCTCTGGAACTCAAACATTTGCTTTCTTGATCAAGACTTTTATCCTTTTAATAATTTTGGCAAATTTTCATTCTTTTGGTGATTTTGAATCTCTCTCAATTTTTTTTTTTTTTTTTTTTTTTAGATATTTTCTCTATTTTCTGTTCGTTTCATTTAAGCAATTTTTGAATGATCCAAAGCACCAGAACAAATAAATATCTGTGGTTTCTTATTACCTTTCACTCACTACGGTATTCTTCGAGCGTGAAACTTTGGTGAAATTGTTATTTAATATATGGATCCCAAATTTTAATTTTATTTAAGCTTTTAAGTGGAAAACCCTTTACATATAGCAACTTTAAGATTAAGAAAAACTTGCTGCTACTATAAAAGAACAGACCAGAAAGCTGGATCCCAATATATCTGAATATGAAACACATTCTTAATATCCCAACTATGAACAGTAATGTGACTAATTAAATTAAAACCTTTTAAAACAAGATGCATTGTGAAACAGCTTGTGTTTAAAATGAGTGGATTCAAGAGGGAGAGAGATCAACTTCTGCACACATCTAAAGTAACCTGAATCAATTGTAATTTCTTGAACCTATTCCATGTTTACCTAGAAAAAGTCTCCCGATCAGTATCGAAGTCAAGCATTAAAATCACCCATAAGAATCATTCTGTCATCACTTGGTGCCCGCTTTTAGTCTCCAAAGCATGTAGAGAAAGTTTTAAAAGATCTGTATTATATATGTGTGTGTGAGTGTTTGTTTGTGAGTGTGTATGAGAGAGTGTGAGAATCTATGTGTCTGTGTTGTGTGTGTGCGTATATCTATCTATCTATCTATCTATCTATCTATCTATCTATCTATCTGAAAATTGTGGACACTGATGTCAACAACGAGTGGCGATTTTCTGTTTCATGCTTGAAAGCAATCTTTAGGCATGAAAATTACTTTCAAGGAGCAATGTGACTGTCGCCAGTCGGTTTTGTCATCTGTTCACACTTCTCTCATACTTACACACACTCTATCACGGATATTAAGTATTTTACCCTATAACTATGATATTCCTTAAAACTATATTTGATCATATATATATATATATATATATATATATATATATATATATATATATATATATATATGTATATGATATATATATATATATATATATATATATATATGTATATGATATATATATATGATATAAATAAACATATAAACATGTGTGTGTGTGTGTGTGTGTGTGTGTGTGTGTGTGTGTGTGTGTGTGTTTTATTTTTATTTTAATCCGCTCAAATTCACGAATCAATTTCCTAGTGTCTGTACAAAACCGATTAAAAAGAAACGGTAATTTCAAGCCCATCCAAGATGATCTTCAGGAGTGAATTTGCTAAGACAAAGAATTAATGTAAATTAATTAAATTAATGTATATGTCAATGTAAACGCTGTACATTTCGAAAAAAATACCGCTACTTAAGGGAGGTAACATAATTTATGTAAACTCTTATTAACAATTGTAATTACGTGTTTTAAAATATTGCTTTTAATTGTAGTTTTAAGAATTAAAATTTAAATAATTTTCCCTCGGAAGATGATATTGGATGCGACTGAAAGCACTTGGGAAAATAAAAGTCAGATGGATAATTACGGTTTTTTACGTGATCAATTTTGTACAGACACTAAGAAATCGATTCGTAAAATTGAGAGGATTAAAATAAAAATAAATAGACATAATATGTCTAGCTTATTCAACCAAACCTTCTTGAATGAAGATATTCTGCCTATATATATATATATATATATATATATATATATATATATATATATATATATACGCACCAAAAAATAACTAGTATCTTCCTGTACAAAAGATGATTACGCAATCATTCAAAATCAAACCGTTTACGTTTATTAAAAGGGACTGATTCATTATACAATTTGCTTTTCATCTTTCGCTTCACTTATAAGTGTGGCATTCTCTCTGTATTCGGGATCCAAAGTATTTTTCAAAGAATTTCATTAATTGGGTTCTACTCATTTCCTAGTGGGAAGTTTTATAATTGGCTGTTCACGTAGAATGTCAAAGCAAATTTTACAGTAAATTAAATGAATTTTTGATTTAGTTAATAACCTAAATTACATATTCTACAAACATATTTTTAAAACGATTATTAAATTTATTTATCCATCTAAATTTTTTCGATATACAGTCAACGCTTTCCTAATGTTCAAAACTGTATGAAATTAAACTGGAAAATCCCTTATACTTTCATTACGAGAAATTAAAGGCCATGTTTTACTATAGAATGCATATTAAATTTATAAACCTTATTGATAATCGAGTCTATGTGCAGCTTTTAATAAATACATGCCTCTTGTAAAGGTTGACAAAGACTGTAATTGCGGTGAGTGTTATGAACGAACTGTTTACTTATGTACTCACTAACCCAGTTCTCTGTTAACCATCATAGTATGAAAGAGATACGACGATGGAACAGTACACTATGTATAAATTCATTCCTTATTTTTAATTTATTAAAACAAAAAATGGTCAAATGTTGTCTTAAAGTATCTTAAAAAGGGTAAATATCGCTCAAAGATTTTAAAATTTAATGGTAACTAGATATTACTTATTAAGATGAAAGCCGAAAAATATTTTGAATTGAATTGAATTTTCAATATTTTCTCTTACAAGATTCATGGATTTCCCCAATATTTTGATATTATCAGGCACTGAAACCCATGATTCTCTACCAGTGGCTTCCAGTTTCATAGAATTTCCCATATGAAATTTTTATTTTCTTTTAAAATCGCAATTCTTTTTGATCCCATTACATAAAGTCACTCTTAACAAAAATTAAGGCACCCGAACTATGTAATATTTCGAATATGTCATATTACGCGTGCTAGAAAAAGAAAAAAAATCAACATATGAGCAACGTACCGTGCCCCGCGTAAATTTTAATTACGGTTTAATTAGACGATATCAATTGCAATTGCGACAAAAAGCGAAATTAAAATTTAACCTTTAATAAAGAATTTGTTTTGTTCGATATCTAAATTTAACTTTAAATGAGTATTTATTTAATTTTTAATTGAGTCTAACTACAATAGTTGCTACCTGATACTTCAGGTGTTCATGATTCGCCAAGATCGAAAAACGGATAGATTGACGGACACATGTACACTGCCCTTTATTTCTATAGAAGTTTGTCTTAGTTTGATTGAGCGACACAAGTATAAGCTATCCACTGAGAATTGAACTTACTATTCAGTCGTAATGGTCAATCAGCCTAGTTGGTTAAGTATTACTCTACCGAGAGGCGCCCATTATTTAATAAGCTTAACTTAATTTCATACTTATGGCCACAAAGTGTGGATCGAACTCACTACTAATAGTCTTCAAGACAACATGGCTAACCATTATACTACACAGAGATTCCTTCCGTGTTTTCGCAGTTATTGACTTCTGTACACATTATGTTGTCTAGTGTAAATATTTCTTAGATTTCCTTTTATTACTTTAGACATTTCTTAAATTGTACATCACATAAATTAGTCTTTTTGTGCTTGTTTGCTGTTTTATATGTTTTTTCTTTACAGCATTTACAAATTAACAAAGATACTGACTAATGTCAATCTTCGATGTGATTAATGGAATGAAAGCATTACTTCTGGTTATGAAAGTTTTACGCACCATCTAAAAACAGTGTAGCGAATTAGTACATTTGAATTAGTACGTTTGAAGAGCAAGGGAACACGCGCTCTGCTTTAAAGCAGATACTTAAATATTGGATACAAGAAAAAGCAGCTTTCAAAATGATTGTGCAATTCAAAAGTTGTAGGTAGTAAAATGAAACTAAGAAATTTATTGTTGATTCAAAGTTTGTGTGATAAGTTCTTGCAGATTTCTTTTGAATAATAGAAACACATCGACACAAAGGAATACAACTGTGAATTTAGTAGGAAGTGAAATTTTTTTCGGGGCCGAGGTGCTAGTTAAATGCCTAAGATGGATTGTCTTACACAGTTAAGGGGTCCTTACTATTCACTGTTTCTAATCTTCGTGCCAATAACCGTTAGACCTCAATTACCCTCTGTCAACAGCTTACACGCAGCTAATCCCAAATAATATTTTCATTCATTCAAATACAAGTCAACATTATTTATAATCTACTTTTTCTATTAATATGCCCATGCCCGCTAACCACTGCTCTGTGGAACCGACTTCTAGGATGTTTCCCCGATTACTACAATCTTAACCTTTTCAAGGCTAGAATTAAACGTTATCTTCTCCTCCTATCCACACAAATGTCTCCTAACGTAACTCTCTACCTTGAGTGGCATCTGGGCCTTGTACAGGGTGAACCTTACTTTAAAAAAATATGTCTGAATTTCGGGGATGAAAAGTTATCATTATTTACCCTTTCACTATTATCCTCATATTTATTGTCATTATTCCAATTTCTCGGCCGTTGTATCCTCAGGCCTTTATCAGGTGCTTGCCGATACGGATAACATTCAGGGAATTTCAAACTGAACCTTTTATTTACTATACAGGGTAGATTGTTCACGTTCTGCTGACCATGTTTAGGGAGGCCTCGTCTAGTTATTATTTAGTACTGCTCAGTTATTGCGCTCTCCAAGTACGTACTGCACGGCCCAGAGATTGAAGCCATAATTAGTGTGTCACCAAATTTCACGAACCACTGCCTTCATGTAAATAATGTATTCAGTTTGTACGAGATTCATATTTAATTTCAGGTCAGATGGGAACTTGAAAATATATTTTTTTAAATCCAGAAATATTACGTCTACTATTGTTAGTGAAAACAAATAAAATAGTGTGAATAGATTGAATCAGGAGGTTATAGCTTCTTGACTGTAGATTTGAGTCTGCCATGTCGTTCATCCTTCGTTCCTACATCGATATAGATAACGTCTATATCGCATTGATTCCCAGGATTTCTCGAGGCAGACTAATTCTTGAATTTATATTGTTTACTTTAATAGATGTAGAATAAAACGAACTGAATGGTGTGTTAAAATCAACAACAGAGAGGAAAGAAAAACTAATAACGACTAATAATTAAAATATTCAGACAACACCGAAAGGGTTTATATATCTGGCTTCATAAACAAGATAAACGTTTTTAGGACACCGAGGATGTGTAAATGTACATGCGTGTATTTTAGCGCGTGAGACAGAGGGCATGATATTATAAGAGCTTCTGCGATTGTGTATATGCATGTGAGGATGTGGGTGCCATTCTGAGTTTATGCTATTATGTCTGTGAGCTAATTTGAATGCACGATATGAATGTGTGTTTCGTGTGAATGTTATATTTTTTTCGTGTGGACGCGCACATGTGAGTGTTTCCCCCAAACTCCAAACAAGAGTTCTATTTTTAAATAAAAATAAATGCATAAATAAATATCTGTCCTACTCCATCTTGGGGCTCCAAACACTGAATTAATAACCCCAGAAAATAAACTGGAATACTTCATGAAAGTAAAAAAAGACTTAAAAAAACGCAGGATGTAATTGAGCATTATATATATATATATATATATATATATATATATATATATATGTGTGTGTGTGTGTGTGTGTGTGTGTGTGTGTGTGTGTATGTGTGTGTGTTTTTTACATTGACACGCTTAAGGTTTCCCACTGGTCTCTTTTACTTAGGTGTACTCCATCCTCTCTCCCCGTAGTGTATTGATTCGCATATGTCTCCCTAGTGTCCGGCCATATTACCTAACTAGCAGATTCTATCTCGCTATGATGACTACAGGTTTGAGTCAATTTTGCCCTTCATCTAAAACGACACCTCATCTGTCTTTCTTACATTTTGTCGCTCAATTTTTCCCAGTTTTCATGCTTTCATTTACTTTTCTCCTTATAACACTTTCTTTTAATCTTGTTTTATTATTTACCTTTCTTTTCTCTTTCTTCCATATTTCATTCTTGCTTATTTTCCTTTCTCTCTTTCTTTCTTTTCTTCTCTACTCACTATCAGACCTTTTCCCTTGCTTTTTTCATTTTCGCTCTTCTCTTTTCCTTTTAATTCCCTACTAATCTTTCTTTTCTCATATGTTTACCACAGTTCTCTCTATATTTCTTTCACGCTCTCACAGTCTCTTCTTTTTCCTCCTTTATTTTTTCTCTTTTTCTGTTGCGTTCTTTTTTTACATCTCTCTTTATTTTCTCTTTCTTTCATTTTACTTTATTTTCGACTTCTCTCTCTCTCTCTCTCTCTCTCTCTCTTTCCTTCATTCCACCCTTTCTTTCACTTTTTTCCACACCTCTTCTATGTTTTACATTCTTCCCACTCTTACTTTATCCCTTCTCTTTTGTTTAATCTATTTCAGTTTACTATTTACAGTTTCGCCTTGCTTTTTCATCTTTTTTCCTTTCTTTTCTTTTTTTATTCCTTTTCCTGCTCTATTTCTTCTCACTTTCCCTCATTCGAGCTGTTTTCTTTTAATCTTCATTCATGTACGTTTTATTCTATTGTTCTTCCAATTTTTTCCGCTCCTTTAGATTTCTTTTAGATTATTTTTAACTTTCTTTCTTTTCATTTCCGATTACCCGAATTGTTGTTTCTTTTCTTTATTTCGTTAGACGCTTTTTTTATATTTCTTGTTTTATTATATTGTTTATCTGCTGTCTCTCTTCCTTTATAAATCTATCATTTTCCATTTGTTATTTCTCATATCATATCCTTTTTTCCTATTAGCTTTCGTTTCCATTTATTGCCATCATTTTCGCGCTTGTTTCTTCTATTCTTAGTCATTTTATTATATTTCGTTATATTGTTCTTTTTTTCTTTCTTACATTGTTTATACTGTTTATCATTTTAAATACCACTTTCTTTCATCTTTGCTAAGGTTCATTTCACTTTAGTTTTCGTTCTTTTTTTTCTTTTCTTGTTCTTCTCTTTCTTTTAAGTGTATTTTTCTCCTTTATTTTTTACTCGATCACAAAACTCATATTTCCGTCTATCACATGCAAGAGACAAAACAAAACAAACAAGTAAAACTCATTTTTGTTTTTCCATTGACTGTCAGAAAGGAACAAAATAGGATATTAATGATGTCCTTAAAAAAGACGGATATGTCCGGAAAATGGACAGTGTCCAAAGCTAGAAAAATAGGTCTAAATTTAGACAAGAAATTAGGCATAATAATGGAAGGTAGAAATGATAAACATAAAGAAAAAATATAGGAAACACATAAATAAGTCAATAAGTTCGTAGTCAAATGAAGAAAAAGGCATTTATTTTGTTTGTCAACATAATCAATTTTCTTGCAAATGCATATATTCCAAAGCTTCTCAATAGTTAACAGTAATCAAATATAATAGACTGTAAAAAATAAAATTACAATTTAGTGAATAATTGCGTCCGACTACTGACTTAATGATACCATCGTACATATGAACGGTTTGAGTTATACAGACACGCAAACTTATATTGACTATATGTGACTTTATGCAGGCCATTGGTAAGCTTAATAAATATTGGTATGAAAATTGATATATATATATATATATATATATATATATATATATATATATATATATATATATATATATATATATATATATATATATATACCCTGCAAATAAATAAGACTTATCTACTGGAAAGAGAAAGTTATTAGATTTTCCGAGCAGATTGTTGTCATTGGATGTACCACCATAATTTTTGTACCAGATTTTGTTCAGCTTAATAAGTATCTATGTGAGGCGTCTTCCGTGCAGCGTGATCGGTAATAGGCTTTACTTCCAATTCATTACGAGTGATTTTTACCAGATTCGCTAAGATTCGTTTAGTCAGTCTTCGTTTACGATAAGATACTTAAAAGTATCTCATCGTAAAATAATATCTAAGCTCACAGATAATTACAAGTGAATTTGGTCCACTCTAAATGTACCATACGTGTAGCCTTATGTCAAACTAAATCAATTTTAGTAAATTGATTTCTATATATGCAAGAATAAATGAATATCAGAGAAAGAATGAAAAGAAAATAAATTGGAAGAGTGAAAATAACTAAGAAAGATTAATGAAAATTGGAAGTATAAAATTTAAGAAATAAATCGCTGTGTGAGTGTGAAAGAGAGAAAGAGAGAGAGTAAGAGAGATAAAGATAAAAAGAGATGTGGGGAAATTATTTGCACGCTTATAGAAAAGTCGGAGTAATTAGCGAGTAGAAAACAGGTAACAGCTATTTTTTAGCAATTGGAGAAAAGGGGCTCTTATCCGAGCTGCCGATATTAATCAATGTCAATGTGAAACTCGGACTAAAAACGCAGGGAAAATATAATAGAATAATTATATAAGAAAGAAAGAAAGAAAGAAAGAAAGAAAGAAAGAAAGAAAGAAAGATTTTTTAAAATACTGAGAAATAAACGGGGATGCAATACTTGGAAAAAATTGAAGAAAGCGAATAAGAAATAAACAAACGAAATAAATAACCTTTATATTAAACAAAAGGAAAGCAAAACAAGGAAGAAAAATGAGAACATTTACAAAAAAACTTAAAAGAAAACTAATTAATCGCAAAAACTATTAGATCGCAATATACTGGAACCGAGACATGGAATAGTAGTTAACATTACTTTCACACACTATTGTAGTTAATGCAGGCCTAAGTGGTACATGAAATTCGTAGCATTGTGCTAAATTAAGCGTTCGTTAGTATATGTCAGTACATATTTTAAGGTTTGTTTTACTGTGAAGTAATGGTTAATTTAGCAAATCATTACTATTGTGTCGTAAGTTCAATCGCCACTGAGAACTTCACACCTGTAACCTTTCTGTTTAATCAGTAATACAAGAATTATTAAATCAGCAAATATCTATAAGCCAAGAACTGTTATAATTAAATACTTATATGACACGAAATACATATATAAGTAGGTAGCTCCAAATAAACGCGATTTTTTTAAAATAAAAAATCTTGAAGCTTTTATTCTAGTTTTAATTCCAAGCTAATAGCTTAAATGTAATATTTCTAAAAAGTAAAATACTTTGCTGTATTTCAAAACTAATTTAAATTGACTATAAGGAGTTTTTTAATCACTACAAATCGCTGATTTTAGCCATTTTTAACCATCTGTTTTTATAATGTAATTATCTTTATTAAGAAATTTTTCAAAAATAAAATATACTTTTTTGAAACGTTATTTGAGAAATATTAGCTGTTTAAAAACATAATTAATACTTTCTTTTACTTACTTTAAAATAAGATTTATAAAAAGATTTATTGAGAACTTGACTTATTTTTTCTACGAGGAATATCTCACTAAAAATTACTTGAGGAATATAACGTGAGCGCCTTGTTTTATATAATTTTTAACTACCCACTAACCTTAATAATTTAAGAAAATATTCTTCGTAATCTAATATTATATTGAATTTTAGGTACTTTGGTTTTAAATTTATTATAGCTCGCTTATTTTATGACAATATCGTGTATGGACGTCCGTATTTACAAAATCGGCGCGATGATGCACACACACACAAAAAAAAAATCAATGTAATTTTTAATATATCGATGATCACTGAATTGTAGTAAGCTTTTCTATTAATGATTAACAAATATAGTTTTACTTAATAATAATACCATCTAACTGGGACTAACTACTAGAGAATATTAAAAAAATTAACACTATAAATTATTCTATTTTAAAAAATAAAAACAATTCTTCAAAAACACATTATTCGCTAAAAATCCTTCTCTTAAGACAATAGTTCCCATAATATATCTTAAAATTCATAAAACAAAAGCTTTTCTATTTAAATAATGTCTTAGTTTTAATGCATTTTTATTTTACGATTCAGAGCAGATTTTCGGTCATTAGGGGTCCTATTTTGAAAAATAAAATTGATGATTTAAATTCTCCAATGATTTCTGCGTATAATATAAATAATAAGCAGTACGAAAACGAATTTCTTGAAGTTTTATAAAATTAAATAAGTAGGTGGTAAACAGAGGTAAAAATGTTTTTCAAAGATTTTCTAAAAAAGAAACATTTCTAATAATTTCATTCATTTGTGAATAAGCCCTGAAAGTTTCATTAAGATCCAACTAAAAAATCAATGTGTTTTTCCCCGCAGAAAAGACGCTAATATTTTCTTTACTAATTTATGGTTCCCCGTTGATGTAAGAAAAACAAAAATTTTAACCAAAATTTCGAACGTTCTAAAAATAATAATTAAAAAAAATCCTTTCCTCTTACCTCTTAAAAATAAGAAAGATGTTGACGATAAAACTTTATTTTATCGAATTTAGGGTATTTTTCATTATGGCATACTGATTTCTTAGCGAAACTTTGGAGGTATGTAGATATAAAAAAAAAGAACGATGACTTTAAAAAAGGAGCAACTAACAAGGTAAAGTGATGTTAAGAAGAAAGCATTTCTTTTTCGATATATGCAAACATTCATGTGTGTTTATGGCTTTAACCTCTTGCGATTTTTTCAAAGACAGGCATTTTTGTTTTATTTTTCGTACTTTATTCTTTTCAGCACATCATGAATTAACTCTTCTATAAAATAACTTTTAGGTAGTCTCTTACATATTGGAATAAGAATGCGTCTATCCTGAACATCATACAGCTGGCAAAAGTACAAAATTTGCGGATCAGTGGCAACAAAAAAGGGGTTATAATTTCTGAGCTAAACTGTGAATTTTGTGGCAGTGATAAAACGGTAATATTCTCCACCTGCTACGAAGGATTTCATGCCATAGACATAGTCTTTCAACCGATGCAAACCAGAAGGGCCATGATGACTAAAATCCTCAGTTCGCTACACCTGGGTTATGTGAACCATGTGAGAAGCACCAGAATTCTACTAAAAAATGTACGATTTTTCTTCGGACACATTTCGACTCAAATCTTGGAAATTATGTGTGCTATATAGCCATTCAAACACTGATCTACTTCAGTTCAAATGTTCATTTGATCACTGTTGCTAGAAATGAAACACCACAGACACGTCAGTAATTCTCAAATATAATCATCCGGCCTCATAAAAACCCACAGTCCAACCACTCCCAAATGGTTATAATTGGAAGGACCAAGTGTGCATGATACCTGCTTGCTCTGAATTCTCTTATTACGGTGAAAATTATTGCCGAATACATTAGCCTCGAGAGTCCAAATACTTACAATGTACTGGTATGAGTCACAAGATGTCCAAGAAATTTTTTTAAAATTATCAGAAAATCTACTACTCCTTAATATGTTCATACTATAGCCAGGAAAAATCAGCATCATCCTTCATGGTATTGCAATTTTATCTTCCTTCAATTTATGCGTACCTGTATAACAACTAACATTACCAAACATAAACGGTAAAAGATATGACAAGGAATCAGTAAACGAATTTAACGGCAAGAATCATTATGAGAATTTGAAAGAAAGAAAAATAAATCCAATAATAGTCTCTGAATTTCTTAGATGAAGGATTACCAATGATTATTATTATTTTATAATTATACTTGACAATACTGCATCTAAAATACCAGATTTTATCACAACT